CCGGCCCAATGAATGGCAGCTCCCCCCGGCACTGCCGCCTTCCCAGTTGGGGCGGAGCGCGAGCCGCCGAGCTCCCGGGCGCGGAGCGCGCAGGGCGGGGGCGCGCCGGCGGGGCGGGGCGCGGGCGATGTGCGGGCGGGGCGCGGGCGGCGCTACGTGCTGATTGGCCCGCACCGCGTTCCGAGGCCGTTAACGGCGGCGCGGCGGGGCCGGGGCTCCAAAACAAAGGGCTGGCGGCCCGCGGGGCGGCGGCGGGAGGATGCCTCGCGCCCTGCGGAGGTGCCAACGGCCGCAGCGCGCCCCGGGCCGCGCCGGGGCCGCGTGAGAACCGAGCCCGCGCTGACCGAGGCCCGGGCCGGATGGCACTGCGGGCTGGGGCGCGGACCGCCGAGCGGCCGTGAGTACGGGCGGGCCTGGACTCTGTTGCGCGGGCGGCTACTTTGTGGCGACCCGAGGAGCCTGCGGCTGCGGGCAGGGCCGGAGCACCTGTTGGGCGTCCAGGCGGGCAGGCGGGGCGCGGACGGCCGCACCTGTCGATGTTTTCCTTCTGATTTGATGGTTCGGTTTGTTGGTGTTGGGTTCGCTCCGTTTGGGGGCAGACCCCAAAGCCTCATCTTTGGTTTGGCCCCCGCTTTCTCCCCCACCCCCACCCATGAAAATATGTACAGAGGGAATGGACCACATAATAATAGGCTTTTCCCTCTTTTAAAAAATACAAGTCGCCATTGGGGAGGAGAGGGAGGACAAAGAGGTCTCCGAGGTTGGCTCCGAAAAGGGGGCGTTTTCAAGTTGCCCACGCAGAGCTCGTGACTCGCAGGAAAGCCCTGCGCGTTGGTTCACCACTTGTGGCACGAGGCTCCTTGAAAGCGGCCGCAGACGCCTTTGCGTTGGAAACCCGCTCTGCAGGGTCCCCCTCCCCCGCCCTCCTGAGAGGGGCGTCTTCTGGTGTCCAAATTACGTGCCAAGTTTTAGGGTGGGAAGAAGGCGAAACTCCGTTTTAGATGGACGGTGGCCCCAGGAGACATCCATTTCGCCACCCCCCAAGCCTTTTCCGTTCGTTGCATTTCTTTGTATCCAAAACACACACACACACCTTACCCTGTCGATGCCTTTGCCAAGAATGTTATTTTTTTCCACCAACCAGGCCCCGCGCCTACAGTCCCCAAAGCCTGCAAACAAGGCTTGCCTCCCCGGGGGAGCCTTCCCCGTGCTTCACCTGCCCCGGCTGCCTCTCCGCCCTCACCTGTGCGCCCTCCCGCCTCTGCTCGAGTGGGTGTTCGCGGAGCAGGTGCTGTGCACGCTCCAAGGGGGATGGGCTTCCTTACCCCGCGCCGGCCTCCCCTCGCCTGGCTGTGGCCTCTGGGGCGCCAGCAGCGCACCTTGGAAGGATGCTCTTACCGCCGCATCCTGGCCCTTCACGCTCCCTCCCCTGGCGTCACAGGGTAAGGGGGCTCCACTTGTGGGAACCCCTCGGAGCGAGGACCCAGGCAAACTGATGTCTTCAAACGACCGTGTAGCCCAGGGTCTGGCCTGTGTTGGGCACTTTTAAAAATAATAATAATAATCTTCATTAGGAATCTGAGCAAAGGTCTTTCTGCTTTTTAAATGAACTTCTTATTTTGGAATAATTTTAGATTTACATAAAAGTTGCAAAAATAGTACAGGCCGTCCCAGGGCGCCCCACACCCGTGCTACCATCCTCCAATGCCGGCACATTTGCCAAAATTAGCAACTGACGCGGGTACATTAAGTCAAGTCCAGACATCAAGTCTTTCTGTTTCTGAAGCACGAAGGTTCGCAGAGCTCTTTACGTTGAGAGCCGTGCTCCCGTGATGTCTGTCTGCGCTCGGTTCCCTGGGGACCGTGTGTCAAGGGGCCGGAGTGCAGAGGGCGAGGGGCCGCCACTGGCTTTCATGTCTCCTTCTCCCTGGGGGGCTGACAGGAGGCGTTGGCCTGCTTTCAAACCGATCTTCATCCCAGGTTCATTGGGTTTTGAATTTTAGGAAAGTGGTTAGGTCTGTTAATCAGCAAAACCTCTAGAGAGGGGGGATTTTGACAAGAGATGTCAGCGGAGGTTGGAGCAAGTTCTGAACAGCCAAGTCACTGGGGGGCCAAGGGTTCTGGGGAGGGCAGCCTGAGTTCGTTTCTGGAAAGGAGACAAGAGGATGACATGGACCCGGGGGCGGCTGGGAGACATGGTGACAGAGACGGGGCGGGGAGCCCTGTGGGAAACCTGGCCACAGCTGAGAGTAAAATAGAGATCCTGGGGCCAACCCACCCGCTGCCCCGGGAAGGGACCCAGAGCCAGGGTTCCCTGTGCGGGGGGAGGTGTTGGGCCGAGCTTGCTGACTGAGCCGAGCTTGTGTGGTTCCCTGGGCCACCTTGTGATTGCGTAGTAACCCCATGTTACAGATGAGGCAGCAGCGCGGCCACCACATTGGTGCCACAGTGTGAGTGGAGCCTCCTTTCAGCCTTGCCCCTCGCACCACCCCATGCCCCAGCGCCAAACCTCACCTGCTGGCTCCCAGATGCCACCTGGCTTCCCAGTGCCAACACTATCCCCCCCAGGCACCGGCCCCTTCCCATCCGTCTCTGCATTTGGGGTTTTTCCCGTCCCTTGCACAACACAGGGCTTTGAATGTTTGGTTGTGTTTTATTTAGCATTTTGGTGACTAATACCAGCCTCTTTCCTCTTGCTTCAATCCAGTCTTCGGGGCCGAGTCCCTGGTCCTGCATCTCCCCTTCTTAGCCAGGAAGCAAGCGACCTTTGCTAGAATGTCCCGAGGCCACGATGGGAAACTTTGTTACTAGTGGGAGGATTGAAGGGAATGTATTGAAGGTTCCTCCAAAAGAAAGGCTCAGTGCAAACTCATGAATCATAGTCTCGTGGACGATGCAGGAACCCAGCCCCTCAGGTCCCCGGGGAGGCAGGGGCAGCGCAGTGCACAGGGGCCGAGGGGCTGTATCTGAGGACAGCGCGGAGGTGGGAGGACTGAAGGAGTCTCCTCTCCCTCCCCGGGACCTAGGGTCCAAGGCTGCGGCTCCTGAAATGTGGAGAAAAGCTTTTTATCCCCTAACGAGGAGGAGGAAGTCCGTGTGCGACACAGGCAAACGGTACCTGTGCTGTCGCACCTGTTGATGTAAATCCTTCCAGGCCTCCCCTGCCCGTGTGTGCACGTGCCACCAGTGAGTTTGAATGTTCAGTATATACACTTGGTATCAAAATCAGAAGTTACCAGCCCGGCTGGCGTGGCTCCGTGGTTGAGCGTTGACCTATGAACCAGGAGGTCAGAGTTCGATTCCTGGTCAGGGCTTGTGCCCGGGTTGCGGGCTCCATCCCCAGTAGGGGGCGTGCAGGAGGGAGCCAGTCAATGATTCTCATCATTGATGTTTCTGTCTCACTCCCTCTCCCTTCCTCTCTGAAATCAATAAAAATATATTTTTAAAAAATCATTAGTTGCCAAAAGAAGACGGTGAAAAGGAAGTGGCCTTCCCTGTCCCCCGGCCCAGCCGGAGTCCCACTTTGCATCTATTTCTGGTTCACGTTTATCAGCACCTTTGGCCAGTCTCTGGGTTAGACTTGAGGTGGTTTCTAATCTTGTTACTACAGGCGACATTGTAACCACCGTTACCAGTTACATTGCACTCCTGCAAGCCCCGAGGTGAATGCCTGGGTGGCCACTGGGTCCAGGGGGTGTGCCCGGGAGCACCCAGCCGGCTGCACGCAGCCGGTTCTCACAGGTTTGAGGCAGATGTCAGGTGCCTTTGATTTGCCCCGATGAGTAGAGCTCACACCTGTCTGCGGGCACCGTGGTCCAGGGGATGGACTGGCTTTGAGTCCAGCCCCCCCCCCCAGTTTACTTACTGTGCAGCGTGGGCGGATTGATTGACCTTTCTGTGCCTCAGTTTCCCTGTCTGCAGAGTGGGACTGAGAACACTCATCTCTCGGGGCTGCTGTTAATTCATTTGATTTTCGTGAAGTCATCCGCTTAGGAGGGGGCCGGCCTGGGCTCTGAGGCTCTTTGGGGGCGTCTGCGTTTCCTTTTCTGTGAGGGGTGTGACCGCCACGCCTGCACCTGCCTGGCGCTCTGTGCTCCCCGGGCTCTGCCGGACACAGCAGCCGGGCGGGCAGCCCCGTGTCTCAGCTCCCGGAGCTCTGTCCACGGCACCGTGACGGGGCCGGTTCCCTCTGATACCGACAGGCCCGCTCCTTGCCGGGCGCCTCCTTCCTGCTCACAGGGAGGTGGAGGCCTGGGACGCGCTCACGCTGTGCTGGGAGGAAGAGTAAATGTGGGGGGAATGGAGAGCTAGGGGGCCTCGGGGCCTGTGTCCTATGGGCGTGAGGACCGGCAGGTGGAGAGAGGGAGGGAGCCCGGCCCTTGGGCAGCTTCCATTCTGTCCTGTAATGGTCAGAGCTCTCTGGTTTGGGGTTCGTTTCTCAATGTTTTGTCTTTAGAAGTGCGGTGACGGCACCACATGGACACAGGCCTGATGTGAGTTCTCTTAAAATACTTACACGTGCTTGTTGTAGGAGAGAAACTTCTGGAATCAGAATATTGTTTTTGCTCGAAAACTTGACCCTACACGAATACCTTTGGGGGGAAGGTGGCTGCCCTCCCTGCACGGGGGTTGGGGGGTCACGTAATGCCCTGGGCTGGACTCGGCCCTCGATGCATTGCCGTCAGTTACTCACAGGTGGTTCCCGAGCTCAGGAGGGAGTCACTGGTTCAAAAGCCATGAGCAGTGTTTTCCCACTAAAGGGTCCTAGACCCAGTGACGAGCCTGTGGCTGATCCAGGATTCCTGCCTCTCGGCCCCTTCACGTTATGCTGTCGAAGGAGGTCGAGGAAAGGAGAGGGGATAAAACAGAAGTTTGTTAATATAAGGCTCCTTTCATTAGAAAGAAAAACTTGGGTGAAGATGTTAAAACAGACTTGACAGGAGTTGAATAAGAAGGGAAGTCAGCCCTGACCGGTGTGGCTCAGTGGATAGAGCATCGGCCTGCGGACTGTGGGGTCCCGGGTTCGATTCCGGTCAAGGGCATGTACCTTGGTTGCGGGCACATCCCCAATAGGGAGTGTGCAGGAGGCAGCTGGTAGATGTTTCTCTCTCATTGATATTTCTAACTATCCCTCTCCCTTCCTCTCTGTAAAAAAATCAATAAAATATATATTTTTTAAAAAAAGAACTGAAGTCAGTCAGCCCTGGCTGGCTTGGCTCAGTGGATAGAGCGTCGGCCTGCGGACTGAAGAGTCCCGGGTTTGATTCCAGTTGAGGGCATGTGCCCAGGTTGCGGGCTCGATCCCCAGTGGGGGGGCATGCAGGAGACAGATGATCAGTGATTCTCTCTCATCGTTGATGTTTCTCTCTCTCTCTCCCTCTCCCTTCCTCTCTGAAA